ACAATCGAGCTCTAGCAATCACTCTGCTGTCTGTGCTCATAAGTACGTTCCTGTTTCTGCGATGAAGATTTACATTAAATGTACTGTTATTCCGAGTGATCCAAGTTCTTAATAAGCCCAAACTTTTTAGCCTAGCCTAGCAAGCTCTCTAGGGCTTTCTCTAAACAAACGCTGCTTGAGTAAGCCATGTTCAATGTGATAATTACTCTGTTCTTTTCTACTTTCAAGTGGATCAAGCAGAGGTTAATGCTCAATTTGATGCAAAGAAGAAAGAATTTCGTCACAAGAGAAGTAGTGGTCCTCGCAACGAAAGTCAACCCAAGATCAAGCGATCAAAGCCGCCCAAGAAAGCTTCAGTGTCTGAGGTATATATATTTATTGCTATGGCTTTATCATTCCCAAAATGATTTCTTATTGTTTATTGTTTCTCTTTTACCTGTTTATATTAGGAGGAGAAAACACGCAGGCGGATCTATGAACTAAACAAGTTAGAGGCTGCGAAACGATCCAATGTTCAAGTGCTTCAAAGGATAAGAGGGCAGGATGATGATGGTCCGTACAACCCTGAAAATGATGACGATGAGCAATCTAATTATAATTCTGATACTGGTTCGGATTCAGACGAGTGTCTATCTAGTCTGGTGAGTTTATTCGTAAGACTGACTGCTGTGCTTTATCTTTTGTGCTTGATCGGATATAACACAATCCTATGTATCTCTCCATTTCAGGCCCAAAAGAAACAAGGGGATAACCTAGTGAAAGAGCTCAGGGATGTTTCTAACACTCCTAAACCGAGTGAACGAGATGGCCCCTCCAAGGAAGATCTTCTTGATCAAGTAGCAATTCTGAAAGTGAAACTTCGAGATGCTATGTCAGGTATTTAACTCACATCATTTAAACCTCTTACCTTTACAGTTCTGATTCATTTCGTCACTAATATCCTTATGTGTTATGTACAGGTAGCAGCAAAAGAAGAATACTGACTACTGACAGCTCGCCAGGTATATTGCAATCTCATCTTTACTTTAAATTTATCTCTTATTAAATTTCCTCTCTAATTTCACTGCATATTTAACAGGTTCTAGCAATAGCCTAATGGAGGGTAGTAAACGAAATAATTTGGAAAATGTTTTGGCTGGCATTGACAATTTTCATGATGAGACCGGCTTTGTAGCTGATCCATCATCTAAAGATGACCTAGACGATGTTGAGTTAGATCTTGATGATTGTTCTACGTACGGACTGGGTGATCAACTGTATGGTGAGAGCCGAGTAAGTTTCCCAAATTGATTCAGTTTTATGCTTTTTATCATGTATTAGCATTATTACTAACAAATTTTACGTTTCTTTTATAGGATACTAAACTTCTTGCCAAGAATATATATTGCAAGGTAGATGTGCCCGCAAAGGCACTGGCATCTGCTACCAATCTGAACAGCCTTGTCAGGCGACTTCTGCCAGGAGTTTTCATCCCATCAAAAGTGCTGGACTGCACTGTTACGGGTCAAAGCTGGAGAGCAGGTGGGGCCGAGGTTGCAGCAATACAGAAGACTCCATTGCACCCAGTTGCCCTTCAAGCAATTCTTGGTAAGCACCAAATTAGTAATTTTGAATTTATTTTTATTAGTTGTGATCAGAGATTTTATTCTTGAATAATTTAAAATCTTTGAGCTCAAGAAGCTACCTGAAGACATTGTTACTGTCTTTTGTGTGGTAGAACAGATTAGAAGGTTTCTTAATTTCTTGTGGTAGCTACCTCAAACGTTTACGTATTTTAGCAAGATCCTTTCTTACTACACACAGTTCAATGGTTCAAAGAAACTTCAATTTCACAATTTAAATGAATCCAATGAACACTTAATTTTGAATCTTATGGGTCAGGTCTGGTATAGATCAATTTTTTCTAATATTTGCTTACATTTACTCGATTTAATTCTAATGCTTGCCAATATATTATTCTTCTTTATATAGCAGTAGGAAGTCTAATCAGTCCCCTTTCTCATTTTTAGTTTAAGTCTAATGTTATAACAAGTTGTTTTTAAGTGAGAGAGAAGTAAACTGTCAGCTTTGCTAATATCTTTACTTTCTTTTCCAGATTTTGCTTTTGCTGTTGCTAAGAAAAAACATTGGTCGGCTACTCGGCGACTGGCCAAACTCAAGCCAGTCATAACTCGAAGACTGATAGAAATGAAAAATCAGTTTAGGAAAGGAACCCTCCGCGATTAGTTGCTACCTCTTTCTGATCTTTCAGTTTGCTTTGACTTGACTGCTTATTGCTGTGATTTTTTTTAAACCCTAATTTTTCTTTTACTGTTCTAATGATCTCAAATATGTAGTCATATAATTTGCAATAATTCCTTCCCATGTAGCACGGCGATATCGGGCGATGATGAGTCGCCTGGAGGTTGGAGCGGCGATGACTAGGCGATATCATTTAAACACTATCGCCTGGCGGAGAGCGAGGCGACATCCTGTCGATGTCTACTTTAATACATACTTTTGTGGATATCTGTTCGATATTCTCTAAATAAAATGTATCAGTTGTCGCCATGCTGTCGCTTACGTTTATCGCCTCGACCTACCGATGGCGTTTTCGCCCTGGCGATGGTGACACGATAACTAGTAGATATGGAAGTAGGATCAAATTAATGCTCGCCAAAACTCTATCGCTAGGATATCCGTCATTAGATGACGCTCAGGCGATAATTTTCCGATAACTATGCGCTGTGCAACTTTCCACCAAATTAACTTTTGGTGCCTAGAGTTATCGCCGCGATATGGGATAAAGTATGTCGCTCACCAGATGAAAAAGAATTATTGCTTGCATGAAACATTTTGATAAGCTGGCGATACCTTGACCTGGCGAGAGAACACCTGGGCTAGCGCCTCAAGAGCAATGTGGCGATAACTCGGCGACATGATCGTGGCACTGATGCGGGGTAGATATCGAGGCGCTATTCTTTCTGTATCTCCAATATTAACCACAAATACGCACATGTACGGATATCTGTCAGATATTCTCTGGTTAGCAAGCTACTAGTATCGCACTGCTGACGAATTTCGCTAAGTCTTCCACATGCATTTTCGCCCTGGCGATGACTTGGAGATATCTGAAAGATGTCTCAGC